CTGTCAGCCGACACTTGAGTGTCGAACGCGACCCTCGAGATTATCAAGGGCCGCAAGGCTACGAGTACCACATAGTACCCCATCAGCGCGAATCCTTGCGAATGCCCGCATGACTGGCCGATATGAGGAGGCCATGCGCGCGCACGACTCTTATACAAAAGTCCAGCGCGCGGTACCTACCTGATTCTCGCGGCATGAAGTTATGGGTCTGATACTGAAGGAACTAGGAGTGTTGTGATGTTGTGTTTGTTTTGTGTTTTTCCATGTGTTATGTGTGGGTAGATGTGAGTGTCGTGGTGTAACGCTTGGTGTGTGTGATGCGTCCTAGTCGATCGGCGCGAAGTCGCCTTTGGGACCTCAGCCCCTCGGAATGTCGATTCACGTGCGGGTTCGATTTCTTGCACGTTGGACCGCGCGTAACCCCCTATGCTACAGCGAACGAGAAACGCCCTCGGCTGAGCCACCTCTACAATTGCACACGAAAAGCTTTCGCATGTGGTTCAGTAGCTCGGCGGGGATACGCCCACCTAAGGGATGGTGACAGCTCCCGTAGGTGGAGGAATGTGGTGCCTCGCGTGACCCTGTCCTGTCGTAGGGGCTCGCGAGAGGTACGGCTGGCGCACTCGGCCGGAGCGGCTAAAACGCTCTGCGACAAAGTCCTGCAAAATCCTGCGTGACGCGGCCGGGAGGGTCCCCTGGCGGGACCGATGCGCTCGACAACGCCATTGAGCTGGAAACCGGGTCCAACGTCCCATATCTAATCTTTTTTTTTTCCTACCTCTCTTGCACCAACGCCGGGTACTGGGGGGGAGATTCACCAGGGGGCACCAGTGGGATCTCCCTCCATCCCCTAGCTCCTGCCCTCCACCTGCTATCCTCATGGCGTACGGAGTCTCATATACAGAAAAAGGATTTTTTTTTTTTTTTTTAACATCTTGAGAGTGGCGCCATTGTGCTGGAAACCGGGTCCAGCGTCCCCTATCCTATCTGTTTTTCGAAACCTAGCCAGCAGCAGCCGGGGGGCACCAGTGGAGTCTCCCGCCATCCCCTAGCCTTTGTCGTCCTCCTACTATCCCGTGGCTCTTACTGTGTCTTGTTGTGTCTTTACTTGCTGCAGTAGCTTATGTTTGAAAACCTGACACCACCGGCAGGCTAGCTTGCACTACAACATGCTATGCCGGATTTGAGTGATTTAAATGACACTAAGCCCCCAGATACTCCTTTACTTTCAAACCAAAAGTAAACTGCCCAAGCAAACTTAGGTAATGGAAGGTAAAAGAAACAAGTTGAGAGAAGAGTATAGAAAGAACAGAAAACAGAAAAGAAAAAAAAAAGATAAGATAGGATATGGTTACTTTTCATAGGATTGGAAACCCAGATAGGATATGATTAGTCTTTACAGGATTGTGGTTTTCTTTTGTGCCTTGGGGACTCGTTAGACACTCCTCGGGCCGTCCTCGGGGCCCGAGGAAATTTTCTTTTCGTCACCCGAGGAAATTCCCGTCGTCGTTCCACTCATCCTCGGAATGGTCCCCCGAGGACGATTCCTCGGGGGCTCCCGCGGCCAGTTTCATATATCGACAAGCGGATGTGGGGGGGGGGGGGGGGGGGGGGGTCCAGCCAGCTGTGTCCGTGCCGACGTCATTGGTCCAGTTCGGGTCGGCATCGCAAAATCGAAAGTCGGCGGCCTTTAAAAAAACGAGGGCATTGGAAAAGGCGCACAGTCCCAGATTCGCATTTCGAAATTCGAATTTGGGCATGCGAGTGACGGCGCTCCGTGGGCGTCCCTCGCAGCTGACGGCAGCAACGTTCCTCGGCGGAAGCGTTTGGGTACGGGGTGGCGGCTGCGTGTTGGCGGGCACGGCGAACGTACATGTAGACATCCGAAGCAGCAGACACGCTATCACACGATCGCCATCGTTGTCGTCTTCGTCGGCGCACCTTCGTCATCGACGTCTACGCTGTGTACTCCGGTTGTCACTCGTGCCATTGCTGTACTCTGCCCCGACGCTGGTGGAGTGTTGTGTAGTTCGCGACGTCCATGTCGATAGAAGCAGTATCGGCGACGGACATGAACGGGGAGCCGGGCCGTGACATATTGAGCACGACGGAGAGGCCGGCGGTGGCAGCGATCGTGAACGTCATCCTTTTCCGGTGTCACATGGAGAGGAGCGAGAGGAAGATGAGAGCGGCGGTTCTCGCACGGTGGAAGAAGACATTGCTGTCCATGAATGCGGAGGGCTTCAACAATGCTGCCACTTGCGACGCTGTGCTGCAGGTGTGCTACGCCATGGGTTGCGGAGCTTTTCCCAAAGCGACGCCCAGGTGGTGGATGAAGCGATGGACAGAGGGAACGTGGGAGGATCTGCGGCAATGCGATGACGTGACGACCGACTACTTCAGGGAGAAGTTGAGCATGTCTCCACGTGTGTTCCGAGAGATCGCGGAAGCTCTGTCTTCATTCCTATAACGATTTGTCACTTTCTATAGGGAGCCGTTACAACATGATCACATTGTCGAGTACGCTTTGTACAGGTGGGCATCAGGGGAGACGTACGAGAGCGGGACATGCAACTTCGGCATTGGCAGATCGTCTGGTTGGTGGCTGTGCGGGATGTGACTGCGATGTTGCTGAGTGCGTACCTCGATAAGATATCGTGACCGACGGGGTTGCAAAAGGATTGCGCATTTTCGCTGACAAGGGTTTCCTGAACTGCCATGGGTGCATCGACTGCACCCACATCTATATCGACAAGCCCGTGAACGCCCCTGGGGAGGACTACTATGATAGAAAACGTTGTTTCTCCATCCAGGCACAGGTGGTCGTCGATCTGAACTTGCGCGTGCTCGACGTGTTCGTAGATTATCCGGGAAGTTGCCACGATGTCATGATCATCCACCTGTCCAGTTTATGGGCGCGCGCGGAGGCAGGGGAGCTTTTCACTGGGCCACCTGTCATGCTGCCTTTCCAAGTGCAGATGAACAGGTATTTGTTGGGCGACAACGGTTATTCCCCCTCCGAATGGGTAGTCGTCCCGTACGGCGGTCTCGCAACGCACCCGTCGGAGTTGCGCTTTGACAACAAGTAGAAGACGGCGAGGGGGGCAGTCGAGAGGGCTTTCGGCAGACTGAAGGGGATGTGGAGGTTTTTCCTTCGCTCCCATAAGACGAACATGGACACATTACAGTAGAAGTTCGTTGCCGGCACATCATACTGATCGACGCGGGTATCCCATTCGACGACAATCTACTGTGGGAGGTCGGCCCTGACGGTGTGCGTCGTCGGGTGGATCTTGTATCATCTTGGGATCCACCGGCCCTTGAGGCCGATATGTATGGAGTCATCGACGGGGGATGCGTTCATTCTGCGAGACGCACTGGCGGAGCGAATGAGTGTGCAGTGAAGACGACCAGGCGTTCGGAGTGAGTGACTGCCATGACAAGCCTGCGGCGAGAAAGTGGTGCAGACGACACAGCGAAGAGGTCGTATACCGTACACGAAGGGGTGTTCCCGGTCCCCCTTTCCACCGACGGCAGCGTGTCGCCATGAAATGCCTGCCCTCCGATTTGTTGCCGTTAGGTTGTGGTCCGTCCGCGGCGAAAGGCCACGTGTCCTTGAAGGGGTCAACATCCGCATTGGCGTCGTTTTGTCTGTCGGCTTGTTTTGTGGATTGGGGGAATGAATGGCGCAGGGGTTGTTTTGTTGTGGGGTGGCGTGCACAAGGTGGTGGGTGTGGCCAATTACCTTCGGTGTTGTTTTCTTATGCACGACCATGAGAAGATTGTTGCCAGGGCGGGTGGATGGCGATAGTGCAGTCCGACGTGTCCTCGGCGGGGGCCACATCACGAGCGTGTGTGTGGCGATCGTAGTGTAGTTGTAGTACGCTGTCACCTCAGGGTGAGGTGTCAGGGTCATGGAGTCCATTTCGGAGGTGTGTGTTCTGTTTTCCGGAACTTGGGATTTAACAAGCCATGGCGGCCCTTTTTTTTTCAAACTGTATTGTCTTCTTCTTTTCCAGCGAGTGACAACAAATTTGCACATCTCGTGCCATTCATTTCTATCGACTGTCTTCTCTTCTTCTTTTACGCCGATTGAAAAAAAAAAGATTTGCACGACGTCGTGTGTCTCATTTGTATTGTCGTGTGTCAATCTTATATTTGCAATGTGTTCATTGTTTGTTTTGTATTCCCAAACCCTGCTATGAACATCCCTGACGTTGTTATCATCCCATCGCTTCAAGAAAGCATCCCTTACCATATTCACGAACCTGCTCTAATATTTCGCATGTATAATGAAATGAAAAAGAACAAACAGCGCAAAGTTGTGCACATCATTAACATCATTAAACAATTACATGTTCGCTTTAACAGCTGCGAACATCGATTATCCATGTCTCCATTAAAAAAAAAGGGTTACGAAACATGACACACCCCTACGACACGCGGACCGCGCGAACAATGACCCGCATCACGAGATCGTGCCCTCCCATGACCCCTCCCCCCAAACCCC